CAGGCTTGGTTCAAGGTTGTCCTCAAGGCACGAGTCGATTAAATCAGAATTGGGTCAATGGATGCTAACACTGTGTTTCCTGCCATTTTGTTTTCATCCGTTTTGTATCGATTGGGAAAAAAATCAGCGAATTAGCGCACTTTGAACCTGCGAGGCCTACGAAGTATAAAGAACGCATTGGTTTGCTCATACATGTAAGTCTGTTCGGCTGAACACGAACACTAGTACTATAGTACTACAGTTGTACAATGTCTTCAGCTATTCGTAGGTGTTTTTGTCATATTTTCACCTGGTATAACCTAGTCAGAGCGTTTAGATACGGTGATATATTTATTACTGGTATCGCCGTCAGTGACTTTGCGTGATACTGTTCATGACCTTTCCGTTCATACTTTTCCAGGTGCAAGTGATCCGGAATTACTTTATTTTGCACGTTTTGGGCCTGTGACTGCTACATTACATATGTATGTAGCGCCTGGGTTACACGTCCGAGTGGCATTCGAAGCTAGTGAAGTCGTCCATTCAAGAACGCACGAAATTTAGTGCCAGCATAATATATTGTAACACCTGTGTTCGCCTGTAAGCCGATGATTGGCTTCTGTGCAACTTCCAAGACAGCGTCGCAGGGCGTTAAGCGTAAGTATGTTTTTTGGGTTTTGGAGGGCGTTATGTGTGGTGGAATTCCTGCTGCTTTGTTGCGACGTACGCGAGAAGTTCTCGCGTATGTCACCAATACCACAGTATATTGATTCCAATAATTGAACAACGCTGGCGAGAACTACTGTAACGTACGACTTTGCTGTTGGTCGCAGTGAAATGTAGAGCCTGATATGTACGATGTGTCGGCGAGGTGTGGTGGCGGTGGCTGCAGCACACTTAGAACCATTATTGTGTGCATCCATGCAATGAAATGCGAGGTATCTGTGCCAACCTTCCTAGTTAAAGCACCCAATGTGTGTAACGCGTAAGAACACAGACATCTCGATATTGTCAAGGAATTATCGCATGCATCTTGAGTCGTCAAGCTAACGAAGGAAATGCTCTACGATAGTGGCGGGGTTCGTGCCCGCATGCGTAGCCAATGATTTCACAGTTAGTAAAAACTAATATACTAATCAAAGAAGGACGAGCAAATAAAAATGATGTACGATGGGTTTATTTTCCCTAACCCTCCAGCGGCATGGTGTCATGAGATCAGAAGCCTGTCCATACTGAAAGACAGTCTAAAAGGGCTTCTTGTAGAATGAAAATCCCACTCCCATATCGCAACTTGAGAGGTGCGTAATTGGAAGGTCATTGGACAATGAATTTGATTGGTGTTACAAAAAGGCTACATCACTATGCATTATAGTTGGTGGTGACGAACCTGTCCACTGTTGCTAGTTTCAAAATTTAACTTGGACTTGTTCATTCAGCGCAGAATGGAAAGTGATTGATTGAGTTTAAAGTCTTAGCCAACTTGTCTACATGGCGATCTTCCACCATTGCTCTAAAACCCTGGTAAACTTAATCACTTGTTCGCGAGCTTATATGACCATCATTCAGTGCAACATGCAAATGATCTTGTGTATCACACACAATATGTGACGTATAATACCACAACGGCTCGTCAGAAACCACGGAACCGTTTTAATATTATTTGTACGAACGCATTTTGTCTTCTTCCCTAAATTTTAATTTCTGGTCATAGAAAGCAGTTGTATTATGAACCGGTTGTCGGTGACCAAGGTCACCATAACTACCGGACCCACGCAAAACATATGCTCATACATATTCTTTTGATGACTGTAAACCTTTGGGACTAGCACACCGATAAAGAGTTTGTTCCTCAGTTACTGGAGCACCGCGGAGCTATCGAATCGATGGGATTGCAATGAGTTTGCAAGTATTATTTAATTAGTTGTTAGCGAATACCACACCTCACAAAGCGTTTCATTTCTTGGAGCCTGACGACCAAGAGTCGATCGCATTGGAGAAGAACCTCACTGGTTCTGAAATACCTGTCAAAGTAGACATTAGGCAGACGAAAACTAGTGGATCGGCTACATTTGCGACGTTAGAGGAGCAAGAAGGAAGCATGTTTCAGGGGGAGGCCACATTGGAAAATATCCGTGAGGAACAGGTACGCGGAAAGAAATAACCATCCATGCTCACCGGTGCTTCGACATACTTGACATCCGTGGCCGGAGTCAGTGTACCATCAAAGCGTTGAGCCTGTAACCTTCTGGACAGTAGCACGTTGCTCGCCATCCCTGGCTTAATCATATTCGTGCTAGCACATGTGTCCAGTAAGATTCGGACATCCCTGCCGTTGATACGGCCTTTCTTGATAAACAAATTACTCTACTGTTTTGGCTTTACAGTGTTGACTTTCACAGTCGCCTTGGTTGGCCGCGATTTTGGCGTTTCCAACTCCTCTGCTGATTGCATCACATGCTCTTCCGCCTTTGTTTCAGGTTGCATCGTGTGCACACCTGTGACGTCGTCTGGCGGTGATCCGCACGAAACCAGTCTCTTCTGACGTCTCCTCTGTAGCGCTGCAGGTTGCCTCTACCTTATTTCGGATGTCTCTCACAGTCTTCAGTAGCCTGTCGGCTTCGTCTTTGACGTCAGCTACATTCATCGTTACATGATCTATGACGACGGTCGTCATCTTCGAGAACCATGTTTATTCTCGGCTTTTCACGACATTGGTCATTATTCGCGTTGTTGCACCGCGTGTTGCTGTACCGCGGCGCATTCCTTCTGGCTCCAAACGTCTGTTACGACTGCATCGGACATTGTCGAGCCCGATGTGCGGCACTCCCGCGCCGGAAACATAATTTTCGGCGCATGCACTCTTCCTTCGATGGCATCCTTACGTTGTCGATCTCCATCGGCACTGGCCCATCGTTCTGATTCTTCGATCGTTTGTTATCGTACGACCGACACCTTGGTTCTCCTTGAGCGTCCACGATGCGCGTGAGACCGATCATAGCCGAGCGCTACTGTAATAGCGTCGGTCAACGTTGCACTCCTATGATACTGGACTTCTTGGCGGATACTTGACGATAATCCAAGCAAGGAATACATGATCTTGTCCATCTCACTCATTTCCTTGACTTGAGTAATCAAATGTCTGAACTTGCTGATAAAATCAGGCAAATCCTTGCAATGACGCTCCGTCAAGTCGTTCATCTGGTCTTTTAGACGTTCTTGCAAATCTGGAGGAACAAGCTCCTCCTCCAGCTTGCCAAAGAAGTCTTCAACACTCTGCACCTTGTCCTTCTTGACGATGTACCACTGCGCGGCTCCATCCTTTAACGACCCTCCCAACACTGCCAATATGCGTCCTCTCAATTTACTATTTTCCCAATCAATGCCCTTTCCTAAAAGTACTGTTCCACTCGCTCCCGGTATAACTGGAATGATTCCTTGAGTGTTCCTCCGTAGCTGGGCATTTTTATCTCATTCAGCTTGATTTGCGACAGCTGTCGTGACTTACGCAGCTCGTCGATAAGTTTTGTTTGCTTCAACATGGCCGCTAGCATACTGTGCATAAGCTGGGCCGAATCTGCCATGTCTGATAATCTTGGTACTTGGTACTTGAATCCGGGTGGAACAAACTAATTTCTACAGGCACTGGCTGAAAGAAACTAAAGAAAATAGTCTATGCTACTTCCTAATTTGGTGGGGTTATTCTTTTTTGGAGGTCCTGACTTTCTTCGATGACGTTGAAGAGGATGATGAAGTTACAGTGGTCGAACGCTGACGTTTCTTGCGTTGCTAGGGTAACCAGAACTATACTGACTATACCGGCTGGTTTGAGACTTGCTCAAATTTTAATAGCGGTGCAGTATTGAAGAACGGTAACTACTTATAGCTAGAAAGCCTTCGCCGGGGCTAGATGTGCAATTACACACCATGATCACCCACCAGCTAGTGCTCACTGTCAGCTTGTGAAGTGACTTGATTACCCGTAAGTAGCACTTAGTCACGTGATTCGGTTTGATCACACTGATGTGACACGTAAAAGACTTCCCCTGGTCTTTATGTTGAAGACGGACAGCGACTAGGCCTCTCTCCCCCGGAAGTGCTACCAAATGTGATGACTGGGGCTCTGTAGAACGTTTGTCCTAGGAGAGTATAGGTCACTTGTAGAATGTAGGTTTTGTGCAGGTAA